AGGCACACATGGAGCCAAAGGTGAAGTCTCCATGGAGGTGGGAGCAGTTCAGCTCTCCCCAGTCTGGAGCACTGAGCACCGGGCAGGTGATGGCTGCAACGGGAGAGCAAGTCTCAGAGACAGAATAGATGCGGTTAAATCTAAGGATTAGGGCTGAATCCAAATCAAAGGAAACCAAAGCTGTGGTCATATGTCTTCAGCTTGCCTTTTTCACCCAGACTCGCCTCTTCAAAAACAGTAGTTGGTACAATGCTTTTTCTGCCCTACAAGTGATTTGCTGGGGGGCACACAATTGCTGCTCTGCAAGAGCCCTGTTTATCCCTTGCACTACCCTGGGTTGAAGGCCCTGGGATGTAGGACCACACCTGCTGCAGTCTACTTGCCTCCCTTCCTTTATTGGAGCAGAGACCTGGCTCTATCCTTGCCACAGTGGCAGGGGAATGGCTTTGGGGCTGTAGAGGACCAGATGGGATGACGGCAGTGGCTACAAGGATTGTGTGCCAGTGTCCCCAGGCTGTGGCCAGGATGTGCTTTGCTGCATGCCAGGGCAGCACCCAGCATTTGGTGGGGTGAGTGGCTCTGCTGCCTGCGGGACCACTGCAGGTTAGTGCCAGGAGGACATTTAACACCCCCATCACCCAGCCCAGCTGAAACACACCCCATCTACTGTACCTTCAGCTTTCAGACCAACACCAAACACTTTCCTAGGTAGACTTTTCTTTTTATAGCTGTTTTACAGGCAAGTCTGGTTTCCCACAGAATTCCCAGAGGTGTCTATTGATGAACATGTCATGCGGATGGGAGCAAGTGACCCAGCCCCTTTTGGGGCCAGCCAACAATGACCATGCAACAGCTGCAGGCAGGCACAGGGCAGGGTTTGAGACAGGGCAGGCAGCCTTGTCCTTCACAGCCCTCACAGCACCATCAGCCTCGCCACAGCAAGAACCTCTGCTCGTTTTTGGAGTAAGCCCAACTGGCAATGCTTACTAACACTGCTTTGTTATCACAAGCAACCATCTGACTCATCTGATTCTTTGCAAGAAACAAGAATCAATCATACATACAGCCAGCAGGAAAAAAACAAGGGGCTGGGAAAACAAGCCTCTGGGAACTTGAAAAGCCTGGAGCAGGCAGGCAGGCACAGCCTAGCTTGCCTGGGGGGACTTCCACAAAATTGGGAGCCAGCTCCTGCCCCTGCTGGGGATAATGACTACAGAGAATCACATCACAGCTCCATGACTGTTGCTCTTAACTGCAGAAAGTTTTGTTGGTCTCAGGTGCCTAAAGTAAGCACCGGGTTGGACTACAGGCACACCTTGCACAGGCTTCATTAGCAGCACTAACTTCAAGGCAGCTTTCTTTTTTAAGAATATATGTACAGAGACGCTGTTTGGCCCCTGGCAGTTTCTGCTGGGTCTCCCAATAGAGAGGGTCCCCAGTTGTGTCCCATGTCTGCTCCAGTCCTTGGCTCATCTCATCCTTGTGCAAGGCTGCAGCACAGGAAAGGTGGAGCAAGGTTCTCACATCCCCAGAGAAGCACAGCACTTCCCTGGGACGCGTGGTGCCTGGCTGCAAGCCCTCAAACCACCAACAGGAAGACTTTCCCTGCCCCTGCAGCATAACACACCACAGCTTTCTCTCCTCTGTGGCTTCCTGCCACGCTCTGTCCCTCCCAGCTTATATCTAACCTCATTTCATGGGTCCTTGTCCCCACTCAAGGTGGCTTGATGTGGCCTGCCAGGATACCCCCTTCCCCTGGCTGCAGGACAGCAGCCCCTCTTTTTTCTGAGGACCTTCAAGGTGCCAACCACCTTTCCAAGGCAGATCAGAGTGGGCTTGGGGAGATGAAGGCTGTGCCACTGGGTTGACAGAGGTGCTAAGACACCATCCTGACTCCTTGCTTAGTGCACAAAGGGTGCTGACATCTGGGTGGAATTCAGGACAGCGAGCAAGGGCACTGGGACAGCCAGGCAGAGCAGGGGGCTTATCCAGAGCTCACAGCTGCTCTGCTCGTTGCAGCCTCATGAGAGAATTGCCTCCCACATGCAGCACCAGGAGATGCTTCCACAAAGGGCAGGGCATGGCAAGACTTGCCTGAGCAGCATTGGGCACATAGTGGTGGTCCCCCCAAAGCATCAGTGCTGTATCCCTGAGACTCCCAGGCCCTGAGAGGTCCTACCTGTGCAGATGGGGATGTCTGCTGACCATTCCTGGGAAGGCAGGCACCGCAGCGTGCCCATCCCTTGCTGCTTGAACCCCTCCTGGCACCCAAACATGCAGGTGGAGTTGTAGCTGAAGTTTCCGTAGGGATGGCTGCAGTTCATGTGCGCTCCCTTGGGCTTCAGCTCAGCACACTGCACAACTGGGAGAGACACATCACTGCCAGCCCATTAGGAGCACAGGGAACTTGCCCAGTTTGCCACCAAGGCTCAGGCTCTCCAGCAGGGAGGGAAGGATGGGTATGGATGGCTCACCATACTGGCACTCGGGGCCGTGGAAGCCGGGGTAGCACTCGCAGCGGTAGCTCCCAATGGTCTCCACGCACTCGCCGCGCTGGCTGCATGAGGAGGGCTGGCAGGAGGCTGCACACACAGAGGATGGTCATCAGGAGCTGCTGGCCACCCTGGTGGTCCCCAGCCCACCCAATCCAGGTCTGGGCCACAGTCCCCCTACTAACCCTTGTAACACAGCGCCTTTTTCTTCCGGCTGCAGGGCTCGTCATTCCATTTGCCCGACTGCTCCTTCCGCTTGATGTAGATCTCCACGCAGTCCTGGTTGGAGCGGCGGTTGTTGGGCTCCCCAACTGCCCAGTTCTCTGCCTCCTTTGTCAGAACCTTCCTGGTGCCCACCCAGGTCCAGACGCCTCCCAGCTTGCGGATGCCAATCCAGTAGTAGGTCCCATGGCGGGGCAGGTTCTCGTTGAGGTACTCGATCTCCTCCTTGTTCTGGATTGCCACCAGGTCGGTAAAGAAGGTCTGGCAGTAATTCCTGGCCTGGTCCCATGTGTAGTCCCCTCGGTCACTGTAGTAGTACTTCCAGGCACCCACCTCCTCCCACAACACCATGCCTGTGAGAGAAGGTGAAGTCTGGGATCAATGCAGAAAGGATGGAGCTGGGTCAGGGATGGGATCCCTTAGGGCATGAGGGTAGTCTAAGCCTGGCCAGTGATCAGCTGAGTGAGGGGATGGGATGAAAGGGCAAATGTGGATGAGAATGGGGCTCTAAGGGTACATGGAGACCTGGGTAGATCAGGCATGGCAGAAGGAACTGAAAACAAGGGGATGGCACAGGGATGAGGAAGATGGGGAAGACAGGGTGAAGGCTGAGACAGTGGGCAGCATGGGGCAGGCAGAGTGCAGGTGGCAGAAGGACACCAAGTAGTGATGCCAACCCCTTGTCCAACACAAGTATTGAAAACCCAGCCCCATGGCCCTGTTCCTCTGCCCACAAAAAAGTTTCCCAAAGGGGAAAACCCTGCTTCAAGATGGTTCCTTAAACACGGTTCCTTCCTTGAGTGCAGAAGTGTGCCACTTCAGTTTTCTTCCTTTACAGTGTTACATCAGAGTCAGATTGGAGCAAGGCAGAGCAACAGGTATGCCCTCACTCCCCAAAGCATTTGGATCCCAACCTGCTCATCTGAGCTAGAGATGGTCTGAGGAGTCTTGTAAAACTCAGTGTTGCAAAACAAGATCTTACAAAAGTCAAACTCACATCCTGGTCATGCCTACCAGGCAGGGCATGGCCAGAGATTAACTGGAACCCATAGCCACAAGTGAAGGACACTTTGCTGAAACCCTGCTCTTATTTACTGCATTTCACACCACAACTTTACGCAATCAAAGGGTTTTAGCCACAAAAAGAAGCTTCCCCCCTTCTCCCCAGAAGTAGGTATCTCCACAACAGCTGAAAGTGATATGGTATTCATATTTTCATTTGTCAGAAAGTGATATGGGAATAAAAGCCTGCTCCAAACAACCAGCCTGGGGTGCCTTGTGTCTCAGGAGAGCACACCACACTGCAGTTATACAAAGGTCTGGGCATCACAGAATAGATGCAAATTTAGGGCTTCTCAAGTCTAATTAGAGCTGTAGTTTGGCCAATAATTATATATTTTTCTAAGTAAATTCTCATAATTTGTCTAGTTTTCCTTGTGAAAGAGCAAACTATCCACTTTGTTCAACAAAAACTGAAGCTGAGGAAAATGTGGTTTCCCACTACAGCCCTCATCTTTCTCCTTTAGGAATTTGGGGCTCCAGGACAGGAGCTCAGGGCACCTTCTGGGAGCCTGCCCCATCCTTAGTTCCCACTGCCCCCTCCTGGCCCTCACTGACTCCCCAGCCAACCCCTTGGCTCCCTTGGCAGCCCTGATACCTCTTCCCAGGGTGGTGCTCAGCACCCTCCACACTCAGGCTGTCTTTGCATTTTTGTTTTCCCTTCAGAGCTAAATCTCAGACTCCTCCTAACACTTCTGCATTTGCCTCATTTCTGTTCCTTAGCTCAGTCATGAAAGGTCCTTTGGAAAATAATTCAGCTCACAGAGGATTTCCAGGGACAGAGCAGTCAACAGCAGGTTTTGCTCTGTGCAGTGCCAGCATGTGAAGGAAATATCCTACAGGCAGCAAAACCACACTCTTTTCTACTCTGATTTCTCCTCCTGATGTCAATTAGTAGCTCTAGTTCTGTGTGGTGCTGCCCCAGCTGTGCTCCCAACCCTTGCACCTGTGTGTCCTGTGCCCGTGTCCATGCCCAACTCTGCAGCACAGGTGTGGGTGTAGGCAGTGGGTAGAGCTGCTGCTGCCTTTCTCCAGTTCACAGTAGGGTGCAGCAGCTGCCATGCTGCATGTGGGGAACCAGACACCCTGCAGGGACCCCACTTGCAGCTGAGCTCACCCTGGGGGAGCGTGGACTGCCTGGAGGAAGCTGGCCTGAGCAGACACAGCCTCCTCCCAGCCCAGGAGGATCCACCCCTGGAGCTGGCAGCCACAAGGGTTGTGACTGATGACCCTCCAGAATAACACTGGAGCTGCCCTGCTCCAGTTTCCCAGACCTGCAGACTCCTTGGCAGCAGGGTCACACGGGGCTCACTGAGCGGGCGGTGGTGACTTACCCCATGTGATGGCAGCGATGCCCAGGTAGATGCCACGAGAGCCCAGAGTCCATGTCCTCCCAGCAGACTGCAGTCCCACAGCAGTGCCCTGACAGGGAGGGAGATGTGAGCACACACATCCCAAGAGGCTCACACACACTCACAGTGCTGGCAGGCAGTCCTAGTGGACATGAGGGCACGGTTCTTGTGCCAGCTCACATACAGGCATGGATGGTGCTGCCAGGTATGGCTCTGCTGTAGAAAGGGCCCTTCCAGGGAGGCACTCTGGGGGGCTTTGCCTGCAGCACGGCTGAGCAGTGAGGGAGACACTGCTGGCAATGCAGTTCACTCCTGCGGAGTCCCTAAATCCAGGGCATGTCCTGTGGCCTCCCAGCCCTTCCTGCTCAGCCAGGGCTGGCATCTGCCTTGCAGTGGCAGTGCCCTGTGTGCCTGGGGTCACCCGGGCAGGGTGTCTCTGGAGCAGCCTGTGTGTGTCCCACAGCCCCCCGACAGTGGCACTAGTTCCTCTCAGTGCCTGCCCATAGCCCTGCCCTCCTCCAAATCCCCTTTTCCAGGCAGACCCTGAGTCATCCCCAAGGAAAGGAGCAGGACCTACCATGTTGGTGCTGCAGACACGCCTTGCCCAGCCAGTGGCAGTGCCAAGTGTGTGTGGTCCCCGGCAGGCAGCGGTGCTCACACTTCCTCTGAGCCTGCAGAGCATCGCTCCCTGCCCTTGGTCTCTTCCCCTCCCACCCCAGCCCCACTGCCAGCCCTCATCCTGCCCCACATCACCGCCTCCCACACCACAGGGCTCTCCCACCCCAAGAAACCCTTCTCTCACCTGGGGCTGGAAGGGAACAGCGGGGTCCCCACTGGCCATAGCCCTGGTGGGACTCAGCTCAGCACCAGCCCCATGGCATGGGAGCTGAGTGCATCCCCACACTGCCATAGGGATGTGACAAGCACAGGAGCTGACCCACAACCAGCCAGAATTGCCCAAGCCCCCCAGGAGGTGGAAAAAGGTCCCCCAGGAAGGGTTCAACCCCAGCCCATGGTGCCCGGGGCACCAAGACCTCTCTGACCCACCATGTCCATGTGGCAGCATCCACGCTGGTGGTTGGGAGACAGAGGAGGGATGAGGTGCGATGAGGTCCCACAGGGGCTGAGTGGGAGCGTGGCTCACAGCCTCCCAGCTCTCATGCTGGATGCTCTCCTTGCATGCAGGCTTTTTGTTCTGGCTGTGAATCCTCATATACCATTTATAAACAGTTACTTACACAATGTATTTTCCTGTCCTTATCTTTATAAGAAAGGTCCAATAATATGCCAGAGGAACTTCCCCTGACTTCTTAATTTCCATTAGAAACTTCCACCAGAGTTTCAGGAATATGCTTAATTGCATCCACCTCCCCTTGGATCATTCTTGAATCATAACAAATCTTTCCTTACCCCATTCTGCTCATACGTAAAACTGCCTTGGCAGGGTTTTCTGTAGGAATTACTCTGCTCACTTCCAGCTAAAACCAAGCAAAAGCCATGCAGGTCACATTCATCTTCCAGTTCCAAAGAAATTGATTCTGCTCCACTGGGACTCATTCTAAACAAAAGGAGGAACCCATCCCACAAAAGTCATAACCCACTAATTACTTTGCACTTGGCCAGTACAAATGAAACTCAGTTCCTGTCTCTGGATATCTTCCTTGCATCATGTTTTACTGCAATTGTCTATTTCTATGGAATTACTGGGGATGAGTCTGTATGTCCAGTAATTCAGGAGCACTCGCTTTCTAGCAGCTCATCGCTGAGGGTGGTCAATTATGGCACAGGAGAGGCAGGCAGAGAGGCTGAGGGGCAGCTGCTGGGACAGGAGAGCATCTTCAAATGCTGAGGGTCAGCTGGCCAGGGTGGGAACTGCCTCTCCCACTGATGAGACACCTGCTGGGACTCACAGAGGTGTTTGTGGGTGTGTGGCCCAAGAGAGAGCAGGCAGTGCCCCTGCCAGTTTCACTTCTGCTGAAACCCAACACGGTAGGGTAGAGTAGTAGAAAAAAAATATTCCCACCTTTATTTTTGTAACTACAAATAGTTTCTGGTATTGTTCTAAAAACAGAATCAAGGTGGCTGACACTCAGAGGTGGCTGCTGCTGCTGCAAAATACATGGCAGTACATGGCCAAGTTCAAAGCACTTTGTGGGATCAGGTACTCCATGCCCACAGATACCTGGGCTCAGAGAGGGGGTCCTACATGGCAGGACAGATACTGAGGGTTGCTTTGCAGGTAGTGGAAAAAGGTACACATGGTACAACGAAGAGAAGACCCAAATCAGCTCTGCTGGGAGTTGGTTAATGGCCAGGAGCCCTTTCACATCTCAGATGATTTCCAAGGTTGGCTTCCCTGGAAGGGATTCAGGATGTTGCAGGACACATGCTCCCATTGGATTCCTGCTGCCTCACTTACCAAGGAAGGGCCTGTCCCTGCCTGAGCAGTGCAGGGGTTTCCTAGGTGGAAAGACAGTGCACCCTGTGCCCACCCCTCTGAGGGCAGAGCGCAAGCTCCAAGCCAGGGCTTTGCTCAGCATGTACTCGAGGGAGCAGGTACAAAGATACTTTCTTGTGTTACCTCCTCACTGTCCCTCTGGACGCAGGGATCTGGAATGGAAATGTGCCTCCTTTACTGTGCCCCGGCGCTGAGCAACAGGCAGAGGCAATGCTCTCTCTCCCGTGAGAGATCTGCCGCAGGCTCTGTCTCTGGGGAACGGGCACGGGTATGTGTTGTTTACAGCAGAGGCTCCCGCCCCACAGTGGCACAGCCTGCTCCCCTCCTTGTGCAATGTCCCCGCAGAGGAACCGCAGAGGAACCGAGTCACCCTGGCACAGCCCGTCCGGCTCGGCTGCTGCCAGCGATAGAGGGGGCACCTTCCTGGGGAGCCCCCCTTGCCCCCGGGGAGGGCTCAGCAGCCCACTAGAGCAAGGAGGCACCCGATGGCACCCCTTTGGGAGTGTAGCATGGTACCAGTGAGGACCCACACCCCTGGAGTGCAGCCTCATTGCTGCTATCCCTCCATTCCTCCTTGGGAACTCGGACAGCTCCCTCTGAAGCTTTAGAGGCATCTCCTGAGCACGGGAAGCAGATGATTTCCCTGCCTCCCCAGGTCCCCAGGGAGTGTTTGACCCAAAGGCTGTCCCTGATCTGCAGGGTGCCTTTGAACAAGTCTCCCAGCATGGCACCTGGTGCACAACCCCAGCAGCCAGACCCTCCTCGGATGATCCTGGAGGAGAGCAGCACCCGATAAAAACTTTCTCACAATTTGGAAGTGTTTGGCCACAGGGAGACGCATTATGACTGCCACCCTGGACTGGAGGGGTGAGATGGTTGCAAGGATTAGTCAGGACCAGATGGACAGGGATGTTTCCAAGACAATCCAAGGACAGTACCCTACACCCCCCACCCACAGGGACCTTGCAACACTGGGACAGCCCTGGCTGTGGAATAGGGGGTTAGTTTTGGGGAAATCACTCCTGCCAACCCTTGTCCCTCTCAGAGATGTTTCTTTGATCTCAGCTGTAGGACAGCTCTCTGCCTCTTGCCTTTCACTGCCAAGGCAGTGATGGAGAGCCTTTTCACTGGGCATCACTGCCACTTGGGTAGCCCTGCCCATGCTGCCTGCTGCTCCCTGGCACCTGGCAGCAGCCACACGTGGGTGGCACAGATAAGGCTTTGCCAAACAGGATGCCAGGGGCGTAGATAACATTGACCTTATCTCACTGCTTGTGTGGTAGGGTGTAAACAAGTGACTCTGCCCACCTGGGGAATTCCAGCACCCCTGCCCTGTCAGTGAGCTGGGACACAGGGTGGGTATGGGGTAGCTCCATGTGCCACATCCAGGGGCATCCCTTCAGCCATGCAGGCAGTCCTTGCCCTAAGTGACAGCAGAATCACCCAGCCTGCAGAGCTACCCCTGGGAACTGTGATTGCTCTGCTTGTGCCCTGCCTAGCTCCCCATGGCATTGTGCACCCCTGGAATGCCGAGCCAACCACTAACCTACGTGGCCCTCCCTTGGCAGCACCCATCTTCTTGGCATGAGAGCAATACCTAGAGCTGTCACACTGGCTTGGCGCAGAGGCAACACAGGTGGTGGGAGTCATTGGCAGCTGACAGAGTAGGCCCCCACTCCCCCAAACACGACCAGTGCTTTTGTCACATGTCTGTTTTAATGCAGAGATTTCAATCTTCTCCTGTCTCACAGAGCAAGCTCAGAGACAGATTCCTGTCTGCCACCTCTGTCACCCACTGCATACTATTGCCTGTTCCCCTCCCTGGCCCAGCAGATGAACATGCTCAGCACCAAGAGGTGTGTCTCCAGCCAGGGCCAGCCCCTGTGGAGCAAAAAACATCCCCTCCTCCAGCCAGGAAATCCTGCAGCATCCCCTCTGGCAGGCACTGTGTTTTCCTCTGAGACAGAAGTTGAGGACATCCTTCATCTTTTGGCAGGCCAGGACTGAGCTTTCCTTTTTTAAAAGAGTTCCTCTTCTCTTTCCCAGCTCCCTCCTTCAGCACAGAGCAGTTTGATGATTTCTCCCCCGGGATCTTGGTTATCCTTTTGCTCCAAGGAACTTCTGTGTCATTTGACTTGCCATTCTATTTAAATTGCTGATTTATTATCTGCAGATAGGGCAGGCACTGGCACTGGTTTTAAGGTCTTTTTTATGTCCCAATCACTTTGCTTTTGTGAATCCACAAACTGCCCTGCCCATGCTGCCCATGCTGTTGCAAATCACTGGGCTCTGCCCTGTGCAGCATGCCCTGTCTGTTAGATCCCGGGGACAGGGCAGCCCCTTCAGAATCACTGCTCCTGTGGCCATCCAGCTGTCCATGCACAGGGTTGGCAGCACTTGCTGAAGTTGGCACTCCCTAAGAGTCCTGACTTTTGGGGCAAGCCCCTGCAAGAAGAAAACAAAAGCTAAAATAACAAGGAGAAGGACATTCCCTTTGTTGTCACCTTTGAAATTAATTCCTTCTCCTCTGACCTCCTGCAGCTCTGCTTTAAAGACCAAGATGATCACAGACACCAATTTAACTGTGCTTTGGCCATGAGCAGAGGGGTAGAGACTCCTTCATATCTGAGCAGCAAGAGAAAAAGGTCTTTTCTGCACTTTTCTGACAGGAAATGGTACGGCAACATAGGGAGTGCTTTCCTAGCTTCTTTTTATTTTTATTTACCCTTGAAAGCAAAAAGACTATTTTGCAGAGGGATATTATGGGAGGACTCACTGGCCCAAAAGGAGGTGAGGCAGGACCTTCTCTCCCCACCTTCCCTGCTGTGCTGTGTGGATTTGGCTGGCCCAGCACTGTACCTGGCTCCTCCGGGCAGAGTGATGCTCAAGGTGCAGCTCCCCTGGCTGCCCAGCTCCGACCACTGGGCTGTCAGCTCTCTGCTGCCTCTGCCGCTGTCACACCACTGTCACACGAACACTTCCTGGAGCTCTGCGAGACCTAGAAACCAGCTTTTGCTCTACGGGCACTGATGTCCTTCGGCAGAGGCGTGCAGCCGGGAGCAGTGTCCGACCCGATGGGCACCGGCGCAGGCAGCGAGCGGAGCTGTGCCGGCTGCGGCGTCTGTCCCCTCTGCCGCGGGGATGCTGCAAGGGCGCTGCGGGAGTGCTGGGGACTCCTGTGCTGTGTCCGTTGGCCTGCAGGCCGTTGCTCTCCACGATGAGCCGGAGAAGCCCTGCACCAGGGAAGTCCATGATGACCACCCCCCAGCGCACGGGCTGC